TTTTCGTGTTAGCTTCGTACTTGTTGAGACCTTACCGCCGAAGACGGATATCCATGGGATAAGGTGAGGCAAGCCCAACCATCACGTCAATGTAACAGCAACGGTCGGGCAATATTAATGTATTTCTTGTTTACATTCATTTAACAAAACAGCTAAGTACTATGAGTAAATACCCCGTATGAAAACTGCAGGAAACATAACTTTTCATGTTTTCGTGTTCTAAAAGAAGTGCTAGAATTTGAGCATAATTAATTGATTGAATTCTCATTACTCTACTAAGGTGGCAAATAATTGGTACCTGAATGAGAATGTAGTTCATGAATGACCTAGTTTAATTGGCTCACATAGAGATGGGCGGAAGTTAGTACAAATAATTCACAAAATATTTTCACATGTCAGTCCTAAAATCTAAGCGATGCCATAAAATGTTTGACAAAAAGAAGAAATGTAATCGGATCAGTGACAGCTTACTGGATCACCATACACTAGAAGGTTCAATCGAAGTGACAAGTAATAGGAATATGAAGTCATGCATGCTCATTATCTCTCTCTCTCTCTCAATTACGATCGGGACTAATTCATTATTGAACTGAATAATTGTGTAAACAACGTCCTATTAGCTGGGTCATGAGGCTAGGAAGAGAGTAACATAATACCGATGAATAATAATGACGCCCTTTCCATTGATAGAGTATAATGATCAGTGATATGGTTTATATCAGGCTTCCTTTTCTATACTATAGACCCTACCAACTGATGCAAAATTATGTATGATGAAAAATGAATAACTTCGAAATAAATGTGAAATTTCAAACAACCACATTCCTTGTTAAATTTGAACAGAACAAGAACCCTAGTAGGACGAAATAAACTCACTCATTTTTCAATCTACCACCTTATCTCTTCATCACTGTCTCCGAAGGATTGCTGACATTCAGTGGCAACACCATGTCAGTAATGCAGAGGTTCGGCATCGTGTGTTCGGGCACAGAGATGATAACTCAATTGGTGTCACCATCTTGAAACACCGACTTCGGTGGCTTGGACATGTTCTCCGAATGTCGTCCCAGAGAATTCCACGTCGTGCATTATTTGCCGACTCTGAGACTGGTTGGAAGAAGCGGAGAGGTGGTCAGTGCATGACATGGTGTCGTGGCATGAAAGAAATCTGCAAAGGACTGGCTTGTGTTGGTCCTTCACGACTCCTTGGCTGGGGTCCGAGAGATGGTGCTACACAGTGGCTAGAGACGTTATCAGATATGGCTCAGAATAGAAACCAGTGGCGATCCTGCTGTAACCTTCTTTTACTTTCTTCATAAAAAGTGGTTGTGTCTCCTTTACCTGAAAGATTTCTTCTGATCGTTCCTCTTCGTCATTACTCTCTTTTTCTTTTGCGTTCTTTAGTTTTTCTTTTTTTTTCTTTTTACTTCTCTTCGAATTCTCATTGTTTTGTGTGGCGCATATATATTGGCGCTCTCTTGTACCAATATTTATGTGTTCAAATAAATAAATTATCTCTTCATATTTATCTCTTACATAATCCGATTGTTCACATATATATGTCAAATGATTGCGTAATCAATCGCCAATTTTCATCACTCTCACTTAACCTCTTTTATCTCGACTACGATTAATAGTAACTATGATATATGTTCTACTCCAAAATACTACTTTCCAATACATGGATCTTAAATACGTATATCCATACACTTTGTGTCCTATTCTTTTTAATATGATTTGGGCTACTTTTGAACATTTATCTAAACTTCACAAACTAAGCTGTATGCAGATGATGAAAACCGTGAAATAGAATGCTGAGTTAGTTTTATCCTCCAAACCTTGATGTTCTTGTTCTGTTCAAGTATAAATTTCGAGTCCCAGAGTAAACATCAACTCTGGGATGCAGTTGCATCCAGGTAGCGAGTCCCAAACAGGACGAAACGCACGCAAAACTGAATTCCACTGCTAGCCATTATCCATCTTTGCTTAGAAACCTTGTGACTTACCGAGACAGTCCGCACACGATGCATATATTGCCAACAAGAGACTGAGTAATTGCAGTCCTAAATATCAATGGGAAGATTCAAGTAAACAATCCCAAGTGAACAAAATTAGTATTGTTTACAAACTAACAAGTTGGTTGAAATAGTTTTACGTGACCACGAAAATAACCTTGTACCTTGAAGAAATAAAATATTGTTTGCCTCAAAGAACATTAACACAAATGCATTGTGGTGGCCTGGAGAGATGAACATGTATGCTATTTTATTTATTTATACAAACACACATTGGTATATGGAAGCCCAAATATATATGCAGTACATAAATCATTCGACTTGTATGAGGACTGAGATATTGACCGGGTGCCAGACCGAAACACATGGTCTTCTTAGGGGGTCACAACCCGAGTTTTTGACCTAAAGATGTGGTCTACAAGGCAGTGGAGCAACGTCAAGAGATGCAATCCCATGGTAGCCGGTGACCAACGATTGGTTCATAGGTTATTTGTTCCCTTCAGGATCCTGAAACGCGTGTACACCATTGGTTTGGAATAAGGGTTTTCCAAATCACCTACGTGGATCATCCATATCCATCAACCCGGTTAAAGCACAGGACATTCGACTTTCATTCTCTCAATTTCGTAAAGAACACTTCCTCCACGAGGAGACAGTGAGAACTTCCCTGCCCGTAGCTTCATGCACGTGGACATGTGAGAGCATTTCGACAGGGAGAGTTGACTCTCCCCACCCTCGGCCTTACCAGGGCATTTTGGGGACTAATTAAGATTGATTTACTGCCTGATACAATTTCATCTGATTTCTAGACAAATGAAAATATTGAAGTTTAAAAGATGGCAAATCAACTAATGAAGTAGTGGAACTACCTCAGTTGAGATGGCTGGGACACGTGTTACGTATCCCCAACAACCGACTGCCCCGAGGTGTAATGTTTTATGGTGTAAGAGTAGGTTGGAAGAAAGCTAGAAGCGGCCAGACCAAAACATGACACAAATCCATGAAGTCAGTAACGAGTGAACTGTGCCATGTTGGTAGATGTAGACTATTTGGTTAAGAACCGCGAGATGATAGCAACCGATGGTTAAACACGTTGAATGATATGGCTCAAAATCGTTTGCAATAGCGCAGGTGTATCCACTCTTTGTGTTCTCCTAAATTCTAATCTTCTGAATTCTTCATGTCCCTTTGTTTTTTCTCTTCTTAAATTTATTTCAATGGATTATACTCCTTGAATAAAATCTTTAAACTCTAATGTTTCCGACTTCTGTTTATACTTTTACTACCTCGACTACTAAGGGATTTGAATCGACAATTACATCTCTGTGCTAATGTGGTATGACAAATTGAACTGATGTACGTACGTACGAAGTTCTACATTGTTACTGACTAACTAAAAAGATTTTCCTATTAAAACTTAAATATTCATCAATAAGATAGAATTACAATGTTATAAAGCTTTCATATATACATCATATCTAGATAGTTCATATACATCCACCACCAATTGAATAGTATATTTCTTCAAGAATGAAAGTCAGTAAAGATAAAGATTGATTAATTTCAATGGTTGAGATCATGAGTCAATTGAAGCTAGATCACCATGGAAAATCTGGAAGCATTGAACGACCGTTTTGCCCTATTGTGGGACTCCTCAATAGTGCGCTTCCACGATCCCACCTCGCGAGATTCCAACCCACGACCTATCAGTCTTGCGCCAGGCGCTTAACCAACTAGACCACTGAACCAACATCCAACAGTTTTAATGTCTAACTTCAACTAATCCACGAAATTGAGCGACACAACTGGCATCCGGTCAATATCCTAAACCTCATACAAATCGAATGATTTATGTGACGCATATCTATTTGGTGACCAGTGGAGCTAATCCTTGTCGGGTAGAGACAGTTATCTACTTAAAAGACAATGGAAGTGGGTCGCGCAATTTCGTGGATTGGTTGATGTTAGAAACTATCACCATTGGATGCCGGCTCAGTGGTCCAGTTGGTTAAGCGTTCGCGCGCGAGACCGAAGGCCCTGGGTTCGAATCCCGCTCGCGGGATCGTGGATGCGCACTGCTGAGGAGTCCCACAATAGGACGAAACGGCCGTCCAGTGCTTCTAGGTTTTCAATTGTGATGGTCTAACATCAATTGGTTCAAGATCTCAATTAAAACTTAGTAGTCTCCACAACCCCATACTAGTAATCAACATGTGCTCACTAGTGACTAGCTTCGTGAGGGAATTCTCGGAGTTCTAGTGAGAAGCCGTGAAACATATAATAATCAATAAGAAAGTGTTTTCACAAAAGTTTTTTTTTTCTTTATTTATAATTTAAGACACATCCATTGACAATAAGTTCACATATTGAATGTTTGTATTGTCAAGAATAGAAACTAGTTACCAAGTATATAAATAAACAAAATGTGTTCATTATTTGAATACAACTATAGTGTACATAAAAGAGAAAAGAACAATAATAGATCGATAATAACAATAACATACTACTGATTAAAGGATTTAACATTTGAAAAAGTAAATACAAGAATTTTATTACTTTCTTCTTTCATTCTTATAAAATAATAAATCATTTATACAACATACATGTATCTATGTATATATATAAGAGATGATTACATATGTTATGTAATAGATATTACATTATGTAATAATATTGTAGGCAAGAACTTAATTATAAATCTCAATGAACTGTCATCAAATCCTACGGGATGTATGATATCATCATTGATAAGAACAAGTAGATTGGAATGAACAATGGTACTATTGAAATGATAATGTTGTTGGTGGTGGTGGTCGTCGTCGTGTTGTTGGTGGTGGTGTTGATGTTGTCAATAAACCATTTCATATGTATAAACAGTAAAATGTACAAAATGTACACAAAGCAGTAGTAATAATGGTGATAATGATGATAAGAAGATTTTAAAAAACCAAATTAGCCGCCAAAAAAAGTTGGGAAACACACACACACACACACATACATAAAAAGAACACTTTTTTGTTATTGAAACATTGGAAATCGAATGAATGAATGAATGAATGAATGAATAAAAGGCAGGCAGGTAGGCAGGCAAGCAGTAATGCAGAAGCTTTTTCTTTTATAAAAAAAAAAAATGAGGCATACATACGTGAGTATAGAAAATTCATTGAGAATTTGCATAGAAATTGGCAAAACAGTAAGAGAATAAGAAAGGATACATAGGAAGAAGGAAGTAGATATGAAAGTGATACGTTTAACTATTCAACAAACTGTTAGTTACATAATAAATCTATAAATATAACTAATAGAATTATCGATACATTTTTATGTGTTCAAGAAGAAAAAGAAAAATCATTTTATCAAATGTTCTGTTGCCATTGCTAAATCCCAATTCTTCATGGATAATGCACGACAAGCTTCATGCTATGATGATAGAAATAGAGAGAATGATGAAGACCTAACACATACACATACACTCACTCACACAAATACAAATTACAATGAGATACCGATGGATGTTGTTAAAATATAGTGAAATACTCCTAGAGTCAATTTTCATAAATAATGAACATTAACTAAATGCTATTTCACAGGTTGGTGGATAAAGAGGATCCACTTAGGTGATTTGGAAAACCCTGATTCTAAACCAATGGTGCACATGCGCTTCAGCACCCTGAAGGAAACAAATAATCTATGAACCAGTCATTGGTCAACGGCTACCATGGGATTGCATCTCTTGACGTTGCTCCACTGCATTGTGGACCACAGCTTTAGGTCAAAGACTCGGGTTGTGGCACCCGGTCAGTATTCCAGTCCTCAAACAAATCGAATGATTTATGTGGCGTATATCTATTTGGTGCCTTCTTGTACCTATGTTTGTGTGTTTAAATAAATAATATAAATAATGTTATTTCCCAGCCTTTTTAATGACTGAAAACATAAAATCGATGAACGTTTTCAACTTGGAGATAACAGCTTTTGTAAGTATAATAGAGAAGTGTTCTCATCAATGTGTTGTACATACAAGCTTTAACGTCTACACTAGTATCTCAACAGTGTTAAAGGTCAGTCAGATTAGATTAGGCTACAGCTTTTACTGTACATAAATAGATTTTATTTACCACGCCAGTCCCCGGTACACTATCGGCAATCACATAGCTAGTAAGACATAAAAACCATGATTATTTCTTAACGGATTATCACAAAAACTGATGGTAAACGCATGCTTCTACGATTTTTCTTCTATAAGACAAGTTTCATGATAGTATGAAAGTGACTGTGTCATTACATATTATTATTCTTTGTGGTTACAACAAACAGACTTACTTCTGTGAGATGCCGTGGGGTAAATTAATTAGAAATCACTAAATTTACACTAAGTATCGCTTCTTGTTCCTACATAATAATAAAGTTACATGACATTCAATTAAACCAAGTGTTTACGACATATACAAACATATTATCAGATGTTCAGTGTTATATGAATGGGACAGATAAAGAACAGCAAAGATTTTACACTATGCACTCATCATTCAATTCTCTTAATAACGCAAACACACAGTCTAAAGAATTATTTTACCTCATCAAAACCCATTTGAACAAGTTTATCTACTAAGTCAACACAATGAGGATCACATCCAGGTCCATTAGCATAAATGCCTGCCCAATGACGTGCAGTTCGATTAAAGGCGTCTATGCTACTTTTATATTGATTAGCAACAACTGCATCTTGTGGATCATCTGGTTCTGGAGAAGCTAATAATGCTTGAATAGATAGAAGTATAGTACGTAATGACATAGCAGCAGCCCTGTGAAGAGAATGAAAAATAAATGAATGTCTACAACATGAAGAAAAGCTTTTTGTAAAAATGCAACTTGAAAAAGACCCTTCATAAGGTAATCAACAGTTACGCAAGAAAGCATTATTTTTATTATGGAGTAGGAAATTATGAGCGGGTTTTCGAAGTGTTAAAGAAATGAATACAATGCTAATCGATGGTCGATATGCAATGATATGAAATGCCTGTGTGATGGTTTCTCACGAGACCGCCTCCAAATGCCCTGGTACGGATTAGAGTGGGGAGTCAGCTCTCCCTCTTCAAATGCTTTCATATAGCTACGTACATACAACCACTGACAGTCAAGTCCTGATCACTACCTTGCTGCATTATTGTTTGAGAGGACGAAAAACGAATGTCCGGTGCTTTAACCAGGGTGGTGGATATGGAGGATCCACCTAGGGCAGTTAGAAAATCCTGATTCCAAACCAATAGTGCACATGGGCTCCAGTATCCTGAAGAAACAAATGGCGTATGAACCAATTATTGGTCACTGGCTACCATGTGACTGCATCTCCTTACGTTGCTCCACTGCCTTGTGGACTAGACCTCTAGATTAGAGGCTCGAGGAGTGGCTCCCTAAGAAACCCGCCTGCTTCGGTTTGGGTACCCGGTCAGTATCATAGCCCATACACGAATCGAGTGACTTGTGTGGCGCGTATATATTCTGTGCCCCTTTCGCCAATATTTATGCCTTCAAACAAATAAGTACCTCACGAGACCTAGTTATTGATGTGACACATCAAATAGACTAATATCGGATGACAAGACAGCTGCCCAACAGAACAAGTTTTTTAAGAAAAAATAACATGGTTATATGCAAAATATTCAGAAAACCAACTATAACTAAATGTCGAATGCAACTAAAGGAAATTCACTCTGTCGGTCAATTTCACTTTGATAAGCTGAAAGCTTGGCCTTGGGTAAATAGCAATAAGAACTGACTATCAAGTTCGTCCTTTATATTTGTGCAAATAAATGGCGGACGTTGGTACTTGAACGATTCAGTCAGGAAATGTACGGATGTAATTGGTGAAACTATAATTTATGGACGATCTTTGAGTAACGCTAAACTGACTTTGAGAGTGCCCACCTACTATTAACTAGGACTAAATGACGGTTATAAAGTAGTGTAAGGATTTAGAATTATGATTTACAGTTGATGGTTAGAATTAGGAACTAAACTTCGAGTTTTCATCAAGAACTGACATCAGCTAAAATGTCAAGATGCTATTTAGCCAGTTAGATGAACGAATTTCGCACCAAAATCTGAAATCTGTTATCTTATACCTGTTTGGTTCGTCCATAAATCATAGTCTCGCCGCAAAATTCATGAATAAACATTTACTTACTTATTAGTAGTACAGTTCAAAATGACTTAAAAATCAACATGACTTCAGATGCTTATAGGATACAATTTTACAAAAAACAAGTGATAGTAAATATTTCAAGCATTGTTTATTTTATAAATTTGCAAACATTTAACAGTTTGGTGATGTCTAGAAAAGAAGTTGATTCTATCGAATGGGAACATTGAAAAGAATGCTTGTTTATGAAAATGAATTAATATAGAGGGGTAAAAAAACTCTTGGTTGAAGATATTAAGTCATATGGCTCGGAATCGGTAGCAAAACCACAAATGCATACACATTTTATATCCCTCCAGGTCTTGAGCCTCAACATTTCTCTATACATATTACATTTTATTTTTTTATTTTTGAACCATGTTCTCTGATGTTTAAACATTCTCACTATTATTATTACCATTGTTATGTTGACATTTTCATTACTTGCATACCTTGCTAGTTTTATCTGGCCGTGCTGATATGGATTAATAACTTGGCTTAACGAACATTTGTCCCCGGTTTTACGTTGAATAAGGTTTTGACTGACTGATTACCATTCTAAGCTAAGTTTGGATTAGGATACATACAATGTTAGATACTGTTATAGTGGAACTTGATGTGTAGAAATCCAAATAATATGAAATACATTAGTAGATGAATAGATGTTATTTAACTATCATTTCTTACCTCTCAAGATAGTTAATGCTATGAACTGGCATCAACTGAGATTAACATTAAAAGATAAAGAGGACTAAGAAAAACTATTTTATTCTCATTTGGGATTATGTTTTAAAGCAAACTAGTTTTCATACACTACCTGACTAAATAACTTGTCTTCTTCCCATTTCAACTGCTTTTACAATAGTGTATTCCTGAGATTAACACATGCTGAGAAATTACAAGTCAGAACATGTCTATTCTAAGAAATCAATTGGTGAAAAATTTAGTTAACATGAGTTGTAATATCATCACGGAGAAAAAAAGCTAACAGAATGAATTAAGATTTGAAAATGAATTTAAATTATTGGCGAGATTATAATTTATGGACGAACCAAACAGGCATAAGATAACAGATTTCAGATTTTGGCGCGAAATTCGTTCACCTAACTGGCTAAATAGCATCTTGACATTTTAGCTGATGTCAGTTCTTGATGAAAACTCGAAGTTTAGTTCCTAACTCTAACCATCAACTGTAAATCATAATTCTAAATCCTTACACTACTTTATAACCGTCATTTAGTCCTAGTTAATAGTAGGTGGACACTCTCAAAGTCAGTTTAGCGTTACTCAAAGATCGTCCATAAATTATAGTTTCACTAAGTTGTCTAGAGTTAGGGAAAATAGTTGCCCTAAATTTTTTAAAGGAGATTGTTAAAAATGGGAGAAAAAATAAAGTAAAATGTATACCAAGAGAATGGAATAACATCGTCGTCATCTCACACCGTACAGAAACACCGAAGGAACATAAAACGATTTTAAATGAATATAGTAAGAGTTTATTTTCATACCGGTGGTACTATAAGATCAGCATAGTTAAAGACAAGGAAAGGTTATCAAAAGAGCAAACAAGCGTTTTCCATGGGATCGGATGTTATGGATGCATTGCAGTTTATATTAGAGAAACATCTAGACAGCTGAATGTAGGGTTGAAAGAAACACAAGAAGTGTTTGACAAATCCTTCTGAATCCTCGATTAACCTCAAAAAAGCTTGAGAATCGATCAAATATCGTGTCACATTCGTTATAAACAGAATACAAGATCAACTCTGAAGATACTTCAAAAGGTGTTTGGCGTGCAAAAGGGGTGACATAAGAAGCCCTGTTTGTATGGGTTAGTCACAAAACCCTGGACAGAAAAGATGGGATTCAGTTAGTCATCCATTGTCAAATGTTTATCAACAAGTAATTAGACCTTACCTCAGTTCACCCCGTTTATAGCACATATAGTTTTACTTTAACAGAAACCAATCGGAATGTTTCAACATCCCACTTTATATACACTTTAACATTTTAAAACCCTTTTCAATCCGTACTACTATTCTTAACGAAGTGAGCGATTGGTAGATCGACTGGATTTATTCACTAGATATTAGCTATTAAAAACATCAAGGTACACACATTCGCAAATTTACTCTCCTTCACAATATAAGCTTTTCACACCATTCACATCTTAAGGACTTATATGATCCTACTTACTAAAGTCAATATCCTAAAATGATTAAATAACCTTTTAGTGTAGATCATACAGTTAAGAGTTATGTATTCTTTGATAGTATCGATTTCGATCATTACGCCGAAAAAGATCCGATAAGATTACTGGACGAAACCTTAGAATTATTTCAATTTCAATTTCTGAGATCACTTGAAGCACGATTTTTACAAATCATGGCTTTTATATACGCGTTTGACTTTCACAGCCAGGAAGTTCGAGGTTCAGACTGCGCTTCACCTACTTCGATTTGGACAATTGGATGTAATTACTTGCCCTTATACTCAGTGTGGCTCGCAGTCAAGTACATAAATTAAATACAATTTACTGATAGTGATAACTGGCAAATGGGGGGACAATTTTGTATCATAATATTAGGAACTGTGCTGCCTTTGAACCATCAATCCGAATGCTATACTTTATAAACATATTCTCTGGTTAATTTTTTTTGCCTTTAAAATGTATAAGGTTCTAGACAAGAAACACATCCGAAAATATAAGTGAAAAGATACCTACCACTGATCCTTTAGTACATCAAGGCAAATTACACCAGTGGCACTACTAATATTAGGATGCCAAATTTTGGTGATAAATTTAACCTTTGGGGGAACAAATGGGTAATTTTCAGGGATTATAATGTCTAAATTGAATTCAGCACCAGTATAAGGAGTATCCGGTGGGCCTTTGATAAGACCACATAAATGCATCATGTCATCATTACAAGGTTTTATTTCCAACTGATTCTGTGCTGCCTAAAATTTGAAAATAGCAAAGAGAAAAAAGTTCCAATATTGTGTTTCACAGAATGGGATTCAGTAACTAGATAAATATTTATGTAGATCGGTTTTATACAATGTTAAGACATATAATTAACATACCGCTGACAAAATTGAAGTCGGTGGAGAGGGGCTTTGAAGTTGAAGACTTAGGACTCGTGAAATTTAAAATCGGTTCGTCGAGTCAAGAGTAGAGCAGCGACATTAAAAGAAACGAGCTGAATTACACTGGTAATAACTAGAGTCTATTTGAATACATTTTGAAGTTTCTTCACTTTTTATACTTCTGCTCTGAACAAGAGATAACCACTAGCCTATTGTCGTACCCCTGAAGGAAACCACTAAAGAGCTGCAATTGTGTAATTATCTAACCAACCTTATTAGGGAATACATGGTTTTTACTGTTTTGCTCCACAATGTACATCGAATAATAAAGATTTGCAAATCATGTGAATACATTTATTTGTGCTGCGTTTTTTTTAGCTAAACAGTTTAATTAAAGTGCTTTTATTAACGTTGTGAGAACGTCAGCCCAAACTACTTTATGTAGTATTTAAAATGTTCAGGAGTCGAAACTCTGCAATTAAACCATCCACCTAAGTGAATACGACAATTTATTAATAGAACACATGGAAATATATAACTCACAACAGTTGAATGGCAATGCATCCTAAGTGTACCTATGAACACTGGTTCGAAGTGAAGTCAGAGGGTGTCGATATCATTGGTCATAAGTAATACACGTTTGAGTCAACTGAAACCATGTTAATATTACCAGTAAATTATAAAATTGACGGGTTTGAGAACTGGTGATCTTTACTACAGCTTAGGTAAGACAAGTTTGAACCTATTTAGGTTAGAAAGATAAATGTATAAGGATCCATAGGAAGAGATTATTTGAAGGTCAACAGAGAGCCTGTGTTTTTATTTAAAAAAGACTATATCATATGTAGGCCTCTAATGATAAGCTGTGTAGGAAATGCGGTGATTTTCACACCTAGATTGTTATCTAACACATCTACATGAGGTTTTGTCATTAGTAAAAACATTCCCATTTCGGGACTTTGTACGCTTGGATAATATTCATAAATTGAAAGGAAATATGACGGTGGCTTAAGTGGTACCAAAGCAAAACATGCGAGCCCTTCTGTAACCCCAAGGTTGTTTAAAGATACTCTGAGAAAGTTAAGTACGGATCTGGGGAATAATTTAGATGAAGATACTGAACAAGACCTCCAGGTTTGATCTCTTGTTCCCGTACTCGCATGACACCAGTGATTGCGGTTTTGAGTCCAATGCATGCACACCAATATTCTTTTTCATTGATGTAAATTTCCATCTTTTTAAACGAAAGATAAAGACAAGTGAGTGATTAGCAGATCAACATTATATTCAAACTTTGAATCAAGCAAACAAGTCGGTAGGAATTTTCAAAATACACAGATCACAACGTCAATTCAATAGGAACAACTAACTTCATCTGATTTCATCAGCTCAGCTAACTCTTTTTGAATACGTTTACCCGCGATGCTAGCCATTCCGAAACTGTGGCAAACACGCCCAGCGTACCGCGAAGACTTAAATCCGGCGCAAAAATAACTCAGACCTTCAATGTCATCGGACAAGATAAGTGAAATTGTCCAGATGGTTATGGATTGAATAAGAAAAGCTTTCGCTCAGTGCGATGAATGCAAAGGCTGGTACCACGAAGTTTGCACAAATTTAACGCATGTGGCTTTCAAGGGGTTCAGTAAAAACGGTCGCGTATGGCTTTGTCACCAGTGCTGTTCGGATGCAAACAGCTTGTTGGCCGAGACCATCTCATTGGTAAATGCTGCGAAAAAGTATTTTGGCAAGCGTGGTCGGGACACATCGAACAATACTCGCTCTATGGACGCGCAAATTGGTGTGAAGCAAACTCAAGTGAGTTCGAAAGCAGGTGACTCACACCGGCCAAAGGAGGAAAAACAGTCTTCAAAGAGGTATGTCTTAACCAAAAACTCAAGAAAAACGGTCTCTTCTGTCCCCTATCTTCTAAATCGTATCTAGCAGGAAACGCCTGGAAGCCGCAATGGCAAGGCTCGACCGGTTTCTAGCGGGGAACATAATCCTCCGGAATCCCAGAGTATCTTTGACTCAACTGTGGTTGTTTCTCATAGCAACGTTGACGATTGGGTGCAGGTTGTAAGGAAGAAAAAACATAACGATATAAAAGGGAATCCTGCCCCCATCAAAGTAGTCGAGAAATCAAAGGCTGATCACAGTGACAGATCAGTTATTTTTCATAACTCTGAACCAAAAACCCGTTTTGAGCATGACATTGTGCCGATAGAACAGCTACTTAATCAAATCATTCCTCAAAATATCCCCGGAGTCACCTTGCTTAAGCTGTACAGACTAGGTAGTCTAGGGAACTTGAAGCCTAATCAATCCAGACTGCTTAAATTAGTATCCAAGTCTTCGAATAAACGCGACTTAACTTTACAGAATGAACATAAATTAAGGGGTTCAGAAGTTTTTATCCGTAAGGACTTGCCGTTGGCAGACCGCGTAAAAAGACGGGAAGCCGAAAAAGACTTACAAATTGGGTTAAACGCTGGCAGAAAGGATATAAAAATTGTAAATTTTTGGGTTCTAGGGCTTTGATAGAAAATAATGCGGAAGCTACTTAAATAGGCTTTGGATCTGTTACACTAATGACCGAAGCTTATTCGATAAGCGACCGGAGCTAGGTGTACAGAGTGACTCTACAAAGTCAGACATGATCGCAGTCACAGAAACTTGGCTGACACAGTCTATAGATAGTATGGAACTTGATTTTGAGGGTTTTACGTAAGTAAGGGCTAACGGAACACAACCATCCTCTTCAACTTGAAACTGCTTTACTGGAACATGATTGTTTGCCAGCACTCCACAAAAATGTTGTGCTCGAGTCATCTCTACGTTTCTCATAATGCAGCGAGATTGAATAAACTGTTACCATATTACTGGGTACATAACTGGTGATTTATCATCAAAGAACCTAGTAAATAAGAATAAAGCGGATCGGGGTGAAAATATAAGTTCAAGATAAACGGGCTCATATATGAATCAATAAGTAAATAAATGAATGTATATAAACAACAAATAGACGAAGATGATAAAAAAATGAAGTGTTCATAACGCTAGAAATGATAATAATAACCCTATAACGTGATGTGAGTGGAACTGATGAGTGCAGAAGTATCTTCTCCTGTTAAGACATGTACTCAAATGCTTATTGAGATGAAAGATGATAATCTACGATTGTGTATGTGGTCATAAAGCCTCCCCTTCAAACTTCCTTATGAGAGGATCTGAGGCCATTTAATCTGGAGACGCATTCATGTCAGAGCAGACTTGTAACGAAAAGCTTGACCTTTATGACTGTTCACACTTTAATGATAATTCATCGTGTGTTACCCCAAAGACTGCAGTAGTGAGATTTTGATAGAATTGTTTTTCAGGTGTTATGAAATCCCAAGTTTCCGATAATGCATCGAAACCTGGATTAAGAAGAATGAAGTAATGTCCCTCAGTTAGATGTCAAATTCCGAATAGCAACTTGAAAAGCTGCACAAAACAGTGTATATGAGTCCTACTGAATGGAGAAGTGTAGTCAACTAAACAAGCTTTATATATTTTTAGAAGGTAGATTTCCTGTAATAACAACAAACTTGTAAAATTAACGACGAAACAGTAAGCCAATAATACAGAGAGTATGCAATACTTATCGGGCGATCAGCAAAAAAATTCCTAACAACCCTGGGACAGTATGTTCAAAAAACAAAATTGCCATCAATGAAATGGATCCGAATCGGCAATCAACCGTTCAAAATAAAAAACTTTGCTGATAACTAGAAAATCAAATATGTAAGGAGGCCTTCAGGACTTAAAAACCTATGAGTAGAACAGGAGTGAAACAGTTGTCGAAGCCATAATAGCATCCAAGAGTTAAACATAGTTTTGAAACCGTGGATAACTTTTCAGTAACCATTGCAAAAAAATCAAAAAGGAAATAAAATATTCGTAGATACAGTCAACAACAAAAGAAATGAAATGTTTGAAAATGGGACAGGGGATTGGTCAACGGGAAATACATGTGCAGAGAAATTTTCCCATGTGTTTTATTATTATTATTATTATTATTATTAGCTTTATTCAATATTATAATTTTGGTACAATATAGAATTCTCAGCTCAAAGTATTTCAACAAGTTTCCGTTTCTTTCTTCTTGGTCGGTCCTGGCGATAAATATTGAGGAAACGCCAGTTAGATGTTAGCACTTCAGTGAATGAACAACTGAATAATGTGCATTCTTTTCGTTGTACATTGCCAGCAACCATATTGTCTCTTATTGAGTTTTCTGTAACTTTGACAACGAAAGGTTGTACACTTTTCAGAAACGCAGCAGAATAGGTTATGCGATTAATAAACATAATGATATATTAAAACAAACAACAATAGATAACTTGTTGAAATATCTGGATGGCAGGAACAGGTAGCCCAGATGCTCAAGCAGGCACATGTAATCAGACATTGCGGGTGTGATATGTGGAGCTCTATCCGACTTGAATTTTGGTTTATGTGTGACTACTTGAGCACGAGCACAACAGTTATGAGTGTTATCATTCAACATGCCGAGTAAGACCACTTGTAACGAAAATAAAATCATTGACAGAAGTGTGCTTCAAAGTTGCTGGTGCCAATTCTCTTCCGGAATTCCAAGTTAAGTCTTGCTTCGTAATGCAGTTTGATGGTTTCCTCATGTATATCCTATCCACCTGCAGTGTCTTTTCCGAATTTCTCCTTCAGGTGGAGGTTGATGTGCTCTCTCCCACATTAAGCTGTTACTAATGACATTCATCCAACAGAAATTGAGTATATTGCATAGAAAATTGTTTGTAAATACTTGCTTGGTTATAATTGTGCTAGTTCTCCAAGTTTCAGCTCCGTACAGTGGGACTGTTTTGACATTCGTATTAAAGATTGTAACTTTGATATTAATAATAATAATAATAATAATTTATTATGAAATAACAGTTTGTTACATGAGGCATGCCAGTTTACAGGCAAGATCAAATTGATACAAATGATACAATATACACTGTATTAAATTACATAGCTGGGTTGAAAATTTATAAGACATGAATGTAGATTGTTCTAATCAGTACTACAGTTGGCGCGCTCCACGAGAGTTGCGTTGCGAATGTGCGACTGATGGTCAAGAATAGGTCCATTGAAGGTATGAGCTTCTAGAAATCGCAACCTTATGTCCCTTTGGGATATCCAAGGCTTTAAGGATGGTGCAGGATGAAGTAACCTGTTCCATATCTCAAGGGGGCTGAAAGAGGGAGCAAGTAAAAGAAAACACGAGAGGCAGAGTAGCCAATATTCATGTAGGAATGTTTAAGGTATGATTACTCAGTCTAATTTTTTTTTATTAAGGTATTTGTTAAGAAAGAGCATTTTAATAGGTTAAAGAAAATAAGCTTTAGCAAGGTGTGAGTGGACAGTTGTTGTGGGTTCCAAATCTTCAACTCTAGGGATCCTTTCCTTGACTTTGCTAATAGATATCTTCACATCCGCATCAGACTCTCACAATTGATTGATCACTGGGTGGCGATCAATGTCATGTTTGTCTAGTCCTTATTAGTGCAGATCGAATGCTATCGATCATGTTGCAATGTGGCAATGTGATCAATCTATTGCGGCTCGGATAGCTCAGTGGTAACGTCTCTGACTGTGAAGCTGGGTGACACGAGATCGAACTGATGGAAAACGCATGCTTCTACGATTTTTCTTCTATAAGACAAGTTTCATGATAGTATGAAAGTGACTGTGTCATTACATATTATTATTTTTTTTTGGTTACAACAAACAGACTTACTTCTGTGAGATGCCGTGGGGTAAATTAATTAGAAATCACTAAATTTACACTAAGTATCGCTTCTTGTTCCTACATAATAATAAAGTTACATGACATTCAATTAAACCAAGTGTTTACGACATATACAAACATATTATCAGATGTTCAGTGTTATATGAATGGGACAGATAGAGAACAGCAAAGATTTTACACTGTGCACTCATCATTCAATTCTCTTAATAACGCAAACACACAGTCTAAAGAATTATTTTACCTCATCAAAACCCATTTGAACAAGTTTATCTACTAAGTCAACACAATGAGGATCACATCCAGGTCCATTAGCATAAATGCCTGCCCAATGACGTGCAGTTCGATTAAAGGCGTCTATGCTACTTTTATATTGATTAGCAACAACTGCATCTTGTGGATCATCTGGTTCTGGAGAAGCTAATAATGCTTGAATAGATAGAAGTATAGTACGTAATGACATAGCAGCAGCCCTGTGAAGAGAATGAAAAATAAATGAATGTCTACAACATGAAGAAAAGCTTTTTGTAAGAATGCAACTTGAAAAAGACCCTTCATAAGGTAATCAACGGTTACGCAAGAAAGCATTATTTTTATTATGGAGTAGGAAATTATGAGCGGGTTTTCGAAGTGTTAAAGAAATGAATACAATGCTAATCGATGGTCGATATGCA